GTTACAGACAGTTGTTAGCTGCCATGTAGGTGCTGGGATTCGAACCTGGGTCTTCTGCAAGAACAGCTGGTGTTCTTAACCGCTGAGCCATCTCTCCAGCCCCAAGGTGACAGTTTTTAATTTACTCAGAGATAGGAAGAGTTTGCCAGCTAGATAAAGGAGAGGATGAGGAATGAGGGAGGCAGGGAAACACTATGCAGAGGGTGCAGTGGGGACTCAGGAGATAGATGGTGGGATGTGAGTGGATGAAGCGTGTGGGAGAAGTCACTGATGAATTAGAGCCAGAGAGATAGGTTGAACAATTTGACTCTGGTGAAGGGAGCCAGAGGCCTTTTGGAGCTGTGCCTAAACTCAGGCAGAGGCTGTAGGTAGAAGACAGATGCGTGAGGAAGAATTTTGATGTGGATGAGTGTGAAAGGTTAGAAAGTGAGGAACTTGAGACCTGTGGCTCGGGTGGCTGGATATTTGAGAATGTTGCTGATGTCAAGGAGCTAGATGTGGGCAGCAGGACTGAGAGTGGGGGTGCTGAAGAGGTTTTGATGTTAGGATAGAAAGGCCTTATGAAAATTTAACATCAAATATGTGTCTTATCACTGCATGCATGGCATGATATAGTATTCGTGGAAGACCTTGAGACTTAGGAAATGATGCAGTTAAAGTGAATTGTTCTGTTTACAGGGATTATATGGAAGGAAATTAAGGAATACTGGTGATCCATAAAGAGTAGAAAGGCAGTGAAGCTTTATTGTTTATCTGGACAAATACTGTTGTTAAAGACGGTGCTCTTAACCCAGATTTTTACTGCAGATTGAGAAACTGAGTATTCTCTCCAGTGTGCCTCAGGTATGAGGGCAGGTGTAACAAGAAGAGAGAGCAGCTGTACCCACCTTAGCAGAGATAGGAGGTGAGGGGTACTGTGGCTCCTGATGCTTGGTTGGCACTCAAGGAGCAGTTTGTTGAATAAATGTGTTGAAGACCGAAGTGACTGAAGAAAGTCCCTTTCTAAAAGATAGGGAAGAAGTAGTCATATAGAAGGATCTAAAATTCTTCCAACACTAATAACAGTTTAATCACTTTGCCAAAAGCAGAGAACCTTATTGGATAAGATAGTTGGCATTTTAAAATATTTTTTATTTATTATTTTTATTTTATGTGTGTGAGTATATTGCCTGCAAGTATGTAAGTGCACCCTATCATACAATGTCCACAGAGGTCAGAAGAGGGCGTTGATCCCCTGGAACTGGAGTTGTTATTCGCCATGTGGGAATTGAACCCAGGTCTTCTGCAAGAGCAGTCAGTGCTCTTAACCACTGAGCCATCTCTCCAGCCTGGCATTAAAATTTTTTTTTTTTTTTAATTTGGGATGTGCTCTGCTTCATCCTCCCTCTCATGGACTGACACTAGCATGGATCACTAGATTGTCAAAGTAGGACCAAAGCCAGGTGCAGTGGTGTGTGCCTATGGTTCCAGAAACTCAGAGGCTGAGATGGGAAAAGCGCTTGAGCCTAGGATTTTGGGGTTAGCCTCTGCAACATAAGGAAACCTTGTCTCAAATAAAGAAAGGAAAAAAAAGAACTTATGGGCTAGGCTACATGCTTTACCTATAGTTTACTTGAACTTAAATTTTTTGATTTACTTGTTTTTACTTTTTGTGTATGAGTATTTTGTGTGCATGTCTGTAGGTGTACCCATGCCTTACATAGGTCTTACAATGCCTACAGAGGTCAGAAGAGGGCATCAGATCTCCTGGAACTGGAGCAACAGATGGTTGTTAGCTGCCATATGGGTGCTGGGAACCAAATCCAGGTCTTCTGCAAGAGCAACCAGTGTTCTTAACCACTAAGCCATCTCTCCAGCCCCAGTTTAATTGAACTTCTAAATCCATAAGCAAGAGATTTGTAATCCATTATATAATAGAATTTTACTTAAATTTACTTGATATTTATAAGAAAATCATTGTTAAATTCTGTGGGAATTGAGTAACATGTCTGTAAATCCAATATTACTTATCATTATCAATTTGTTATATAGTCCTCAATACCAAACTTATTCAACATACCTTTGTTCTCTTCTACATAAGTGCAAAGATTTTCTTTTCAAAAACAAATATAGAGGCTAGAGAGATGACTCAGTGGTTAAGAACAGTGGCTACTCTTCCAGAGGAACTAAGGTTGTTTCCCAGCACCCATATTGGGTGGCTCACAGCTGCCTGTAACTCCAGCTCCAAGGGAGCTGACACCATCTTCTAGCCTCCATGGGCACCTGCAGAAACTTGGCATACATGCACACACAGACACACACACACACACACACACACACAATACCAAAATAAAAATAATGAAACCAGGTGTGGTGGTGCTTGCCAGAATTTGGCAGGCAGAGACAGGCTGATCTCTGTAAGTTTGAGGCCAGCCTGGTCTACAGGTCAACCAGGACTAAATAGCGAGAACCTGTCTCAAAATTTAAAATAATAAATAAATAAATAAGCTGGAGAAATGACTCAGTGGTTAAGAGCACTTGCTGTTCTTGCAGAGGATGTGGATTTTGTTCCTAGCACCCACATGGTAGCTTATAACTAACTGTAATTCTAGTTCTGGGGGATCCAGTGCCTTATTCTGGCCTCCATACGCACCAGGCACACAGGTGATGTGTATACATGCAGGCAAAACACCCATACGCATAAAAATTATTTTAAAAAACCAATACATAGCCAGGCATGGTGGCGCATGCCTTTAATCCCAGCATTCAGGAGGCAGAGGCAGGTGGAGCTCTGTGAGTTCAAGGATAGCCTGGTCTACATAGCGAGTTCCAGGCCAGCTGGGGCTACAGGGAGACCCTGTCTCAAAAATACCAAAGAAAAAAGCAAGAACCTGATATGTACCATTCATATATACAGTTTTGTTGTTGTTTGCTTTGAGACAGGGTCATACTATATAGCACTGGTGGCCTGGCACTCACTATGTAGATCAGGCTGGCCTCAAGCTCATAGAGATCTGCCTACTTATACCTCCCAAGTCCTGGTATTAAAGGCATATGCCTTCATGTTCAGCTGATTTTTGTTTGTTTGCTTTCATTTTTGAGATAAGATCTCGCTCCACAGCTCATGCAGGCCTCAATGTCTCAACATGCTGTGACCCTCCTGAGTAGACTTCTGAGTGCTAAGATTGTAGGCATGAGCCACCACGCCTGTGGGACTGTCATTCACATTTAATGGTCTGTATCAAACCAAGACAACTGATAGGCACTTGTTTGCTGTTTGAGCAGTGATTCCAGCCATTGATTTATAGGAATGTCCCAGCACTCCAGCAACAGAGATTGGTGGGCTCCATGTGTTGGTTTTTTAAATGAGCCTTTCAATTAATTTTTTTCTATTCCTTTAAAAAAAAAAATCTCTCCAATAGCGAAAAGACAAACTCCGGGAGCACATGCAAAGGATGCATAACCCTGAGAGGGAGGCCAAGAAAGCTGACCGCATCAGCCGCTCCAAGACCTTCAAACCACGCATCACATCCACAGACTACGACAGCTTCACATTCAAGTGCCGTTTGTGCATGATGGGCTTCCGGCGGCGAGGCATGCTGGTCAGTGCTGAATAAGCAGGTTCCTGCCTCCAGATCCACCTCTTCCAATCAGTGGGGATGAGGCTTACCAAGTTAAATTTGTCTATGGGCCAGTTAGTGGCTAGGGGCAGAAATAAGCAAGTAGCCCTCTGTTGGAATTTTGCTGTCTCCCTTTGCCCTTCTGAACCACTTTTTCAGTGACCTCTTAAAAAGAAAATGTTTGTACCCTTTTTTCCTCCCCTTCTTGTGCTCATATGATACCCAGAGCCTGCACCTATCAGCATATGCTCTACCACTGTGCTGCCTTCCTAGGCCTCTACCATTTTTCTTTGTGAGCTTTGTTTTTCTTCAGTTTGGTCTCTTTGGTCTTATTTTATTTCTACCCTCTCAGTTATTGAATATCTTTTTGGTGGGGTCTTTACCTCCCTCTTACTGTTTTCCATTAGTGCCTCTTTTTCCTGTTAGGAAACAGTGATAGGAAGAGACTGCCCATCAAAACAGGGAATATGGTTCCAGGTTAGCGGAGGCATCAGGGCAGTTCATTGTGTTCAGCTTACTCTGGCCAGTATAGTTAAAGAATATATTTCTGCTAAGAGCTAGAAAGTCATAGTGTTTAAAACTCAGACCCCTGCTTTGTATTCTATTCAGTACTCTCAGTAAGGCCATTGAATAATGAGAGCCAGGTTTGCATCAGGAAAGTTCACCAGAGAAACCCACGCTAGGCCATTTTCCTTTTTCTACCAGTCATTCTTTCAGCCTATTGATGACCACCTCTCCTTCACTTATTTGCTGAATGAATTATTGTGAACTGTTAACAGTGACTGTTGACACTGTTGTCCCTTGTGTCTCATAATGCTGGCTCTGGGCAAAGGCCTTTCTGTTTTGAGCCTTCACTTCAGAGAGTTTCAACTTCTGGCACTCATTACGAGGAAAATTTGTTTAGCTCCTGTTTATAATCTCTCTCTCTCTCTCTCCATTTTAGGTAAATCACTTATCAAAAAGACATCCAGATATGAAGATAGAAGAGGTGCCTGAGTTAACTCTACCCATCATAAAACCCAATCGTGATTACTTCTGTCAGTATTGTGATAAGGTAAAAGCAAAACCTCCCTTCTGGCTGGGCTGCCATGTGGGAGCCCAGCATAGCTACTCATAAATCACTTAGAGATGTCTACCAAGGTGTTGCAGCTACTCTACCTTCAGTAGTTTTCCATTTTAACAAGAAAGGCTACAAAGGCAGACTCACTGTAAGCCAAGGACTGGAGAGAGGGCTAGGCAGTTAAGAGTACTTACTGCCCCCTTATAGCAACCAGATTGAGTCCCAGCACCCACATCAGGTGACTCAGATCTGCCTTTAACTCCAGCTCCAGGGTATCCAATGACCTCGTCTGGCCTCAACAGGCACTACATGTACATGGTGCACATACAGAAAGCAGCTGCATACACATACACATAAATAAATATAAATAAAACTGGGACTGGCGAGATGGCTCAGTGATTAACAGCATTGACTGCTCTTGTAGAGGACCTGGGTTCAGTTCCCAGCACCCATATGGTAGCTAAAAACTGTAACTCCAGTTCCAAGGTATCCTATGTCCTCTTCTGTCCTCAATGGGCATTATATAACATGGGTGCACTTACATACATGCAGGCAAAACACTCATACACATCAAATTAAAAAAAAAAAAATTCTTGGGGTTGGAGAGATGGCTCAGCAGTTAAAAGCACTGGCTGCTCTTGCAGAGGATCCAGGTTCAATTCCCAGCACCCACATAGCAGATAACAACAATCCATAATTCCAGTTCCAGGGGATCCAACACTCTTCTGACCTCCACAGGCATTTCACGACATGGGTGCACTTACACACATGCAGGTAATACACTCATACACATAAAAATAATAAGCTCAGCGTGGTGGTGCACACCTTTAATCCCAGCACTTGGGAGGCAGAGGCAGGTGGATCTTTGTGAGTTCAAGGCCAGCCTGGTCTACATAGTGAGTTCCAGGACAGCTGGGACTACAGGGAGACCCTGTCTCAAAAACACCCCCAAAAATAATAATAATAATAAATAAAATCTTTTTAAAAATTCTTCTACTTGTACACCTTTATAACTTTTGGGTGAAGTTACTACCTTTTATACAGAAAATTCAAGGAAATTGCCTAGCATATCTGTATTACATTCTTATTTTATTCTAATTTATATTATAGTCACATTATCTGTATATATATATTTATACATACATATATTTATATATATGTATATATAATTGTAGGATCAAACCTAGGGCCTTGTACATTGCTAGGCAAGTTCTCTACCACTGAGCTACATCCACAGCCCTGGGTTTTTTAGGACAGGGTTTCACTGTGTTTCTCAGACTGGTCTTGAAATGACAATCTTGCCACTGCCTCTTGAGATCTGGGATTGCAGGCATGGGCCACTACACACAGCAGCCCCTGTTATTTCTAAGAAAGAGCCTCACTCTGTAGTTCATACTGGCCTTAAACTCGGTGCATAGCCCAGGATGGCCTTGAACTCAAGAGTCTCCTGCTGCAGACTCCAGATTGCTGAGATTATAGGCCTGTGCACTATGTACTGTTTTTTGATTTGTTTTATTTGGGGCACTATCAGTGCATTTTTCTGCTTTCCTCAGAATGAAATTATTTTGCTTTAAGTAATAAAGTGGAATTGTAGATTGCTTTCATCGCAAAGTATTTGAACTTGCAGGTGTATAAGAGTGCCAGCAAGCGTAAAGCCCATATTCTGAAGAACCATCCAGGAGCTGAGCTCCCACCAAGCATTCGGAAACTTCGTCCTGCTGGCCCTGGAGAGCCAGACCCTATGTTGAGCACCCACACCCAGCTGACGGGCACCATTGCCACCCCTCCTGTCTGCTGCCCACATTGTTCCAAGCAGTATAGTAGTAAGGTATGGCTCTGGCTTCTGATCAGTCTGGTGTCAAAACCTTTACATGAGGAAGTCTTAATAGAAGAGGGCTTCTTACCCAGGTATCCTGTGTAGTTTTCTGAATTGGTGGGAGGACTGAAAGAGACCAACAAGCAGGGATGGCAGCAAAGAATGGGAGGAAAATATTGTGGACACCTCCAAACTGCTACCATATACCAGTCTACTTTCCTTCCCCTTGGCCTGCTCAGGGACTTATATTTGAAAGTTCTTTGCTCAAGGTTTATAAGCTCAGGCCTAAGGAAGTACTATGTAGGTAGATCTTGAAAAGAGGCTCATTTTTGCTGAGGAAAGAGTGACTGATTGCTGCAGGCATTCATGGGGATTGGGGATAAATATGAGATATTTGGATACTGTCTGGTGGTGTAGGGTCATGTAAATTTTTTTTTCCTTTTCCTCCTTTCTTATTTCACCACTTAAACACTTGTATTGCTCTTGGAAGTGCAGTCACTTCGAAAATGTTACCAGTGTTGCTTTGATTTTTTTTTTTTTTAATTGAATTTAAGAGATAGGATCTCTGTATGTTTCCCAGGTCAGACTCAAACTCCTAGACTCAAGTGATCTTTCTGCCTCAGCTTCCCAAGTAGGTGGGATAATATCCACGAGGCATTCTGCCTGATTTTTTTTATTCAAGCAAACAACAACAAGAAGTTTTTAAAGGCACAAAATAAAATACTTTAAGAACCTTTAGAGGATTTGCACATGAGAATGTATGGCTCAGGCTGGCCTTAAGTGTATACCCTTCTTGCCTCAGCTCCAGTAATTGTGCTTAACTTTTTCTTCATTTTTCAGACCAAAATGGTCCAACACATTCGAAAGAAACATCCAGAATATGCCCAGCTCCCCAACACCATCCATACACCGCTGACAACAGCTGTGATCAGTGCCACACCAGCTGTCTTGACGACAGATAGTGCCACTGGAGAGACTGTAGTGGTAAGTGGGTGACTAGGAAGAGTGTTTCATTCCTGTTAGTGCTCATCCTCTTTCTAAACACTAAAGCCATGCCAATCATGTTAATTGGCTAGAGATGGGGCCACTTATCCTTGGCGTGCTACGTAAGGCACTGTGTTTATGACTGGGTATCCTCATCAGTGCTTTCGAAAGCCCTCCTACCAAAGGAGGAAAGAGAAATTTTTAATGTTGTCTTTCACTGTGATGGTATCAGAACCTCTAGAGCAGATCTGCTGGCTCAGAGACAGGATCTCAGGGCCAGTTTGTAGTTCTATGATCCACCAGTGTATAAAACTAAATTTTAGTAGGATTTAAGAATACTGAGATTGCTACATACAGTTTTGTAACCAACTAATGTTTTATGATTTTTCTAGACAACAGATCTGCTAACCCAAGCAATGACAGAACTGTCCCAAACCTTAACAACAGATTACCGAACACCACAGGGGGACTACCAAAGGATTCAGTATATCCCTGTGTCTCAGTCTGCATCTGGTCTCCAGCAACCTCAGCATATACAGCTTCAAGTGGTGCAGGTGGCTCCGGTAGTATGATATTTATTGCTTTTTACCTTTATGAATGCTATGTTTCCATTAGCCAAGATGGTAGTATCAGTCAACAAAAGTATCCTTGACTCTGCCTGAGGTATAGCTGCTCAGAAGTTGAGTCTTGAGCATTAGTGAAACACTGTCTCCACATGATGGCGCTGGACCCAGTAAGCTTTTTACTGTAGTAAGGAGAGCTAGGCTTCGGTATACACAGCCATCCTGTGCAGTTCAGTGGCACCTCTCCCTGAGCTGCTTCTGAATCTTGTCCTTTAGTAACCTGGTTGACTTCTTCATAATGTGCCAGTTTGATAAATGCCTACATAGGCATTGAATAACTTATTCCAGTGAGAAGTTAAAAAGAATAATTTTGATCGAGTCTTCATGTCAACTTCTTTTCTTTTTAAAAAATATTTATTATTTTTATTTTATGTTTATGAGTATTTTACCTGCATGTTTGTGTACCATGTATGTGTCTGGTATCCTTGGAGACCAGAAGAGAGTATTGGATCCCCTGGAACTGGAGTTACAGATGGTTATTCCTCTGCCAGATAACAAACAACTCGTTCTTATTCATTAGGGAGCTAAAAGAAAGATGTCTACTGGATCTTTTGTTTCCTTTAGTTGTGCTAGAAAGAAGTATGCTTAAGACAGAAATGAACTTTGTCACTTTCAAATAATTTGGTCTCAAAAATTTAAAATCAAGGGGCTGGAGAGATGGCTCAGCAGTTAAGAGCACTGGCTGATCTTTAGAGGACCCAGGCTTAATTCCCTCCACCCCTATAGCAGCTAACTCCAGGGAATCCAATGCCTTCTTCTGATCTCCTTAGGCTTTGCACAACATGGATGCACTTATATACATGCAGGCAATGCACCCATACACATGAAATAAAAGTAATAAATTAAATATTGAAAAAAATTTAAATCGATACAATTTTAAATGCATGGACATTGGTAGTTCCTAGTGTTATTGACTATTCCTTACTTGATTTATATTTTGCAGACAAAAATCTCACTACATAGCCCTGGCTGGTCTCACATTCAAAATCTCTCTCCAGTTTCAGCCTCCCAAGGGATTTTTTTTTTTTTTTTTGTCTTTTTGAGACAGGGTCTCCTTGTAGCCCCAGCTGTCCTGGAACTCACTATGTATATGAGCCTGGCCTCAAACTCACAAAGATCCACCTGCCTCTGCCTCCCAAGTGCTGGGATTAAAGGAGCGTGCCACAACGCCCGGCCTGGGATTTTGTTTTTAAGTGAACTTCTTCTCTGAAAGCATTTCTTTTAACCTCGATCAATATGTGCTTGTTCTGGAACCTGGTCTTTTCTTCCTCCAGGCCACTTCCCCCCACCAGTCTCAGCAGTCTACAGTGGATGTTGGCCAGCTCCATGATCCTCAGACATACACACAGCATGCCATCCAGGTGCAGCACATCCAGGTCACAGAGCCCACTAATGCAGCCCCATCGTCATCCCAGGTACATTTCTCTATAGATTATGCAGAGTGTTAAGGTGGCATCAGAGGCCATAACAGCAGTAAACGTGTTATGCTTGACTACTAAGATGACATCACTATATTTGGACTTTATCAGTATTTACATTTGTTTCACTTTTTGTATTGTTATTGTAGACAGACTTGTATTAAGTTACTAGCTTCCTAGCAGAACTCTGTGATACAATAGCCTAGAAAAACAACCCCCTTCCTTTTCTAAGGGCAATAACTAAATTGCTTCTATGGCTTGGAACAATGACTGTGGAGTTTTGTATTAGTGATTGAGTCTGTCATTTTCATATAGAGAGAGATCTGGAAGTTCAGAGGAGAAAACAATTTTGTTTAGCAGGGACTAAAAATATTTCTGTCCTTTAGTCTTTGAACTAGGTCTTGAAGGAAGGGTACAGTTTTTGCACAATAGGTGGGGAAGGCATTATGATCTAAATAAATTTTGAGTAAAGAAAGTGAGAAATGACAGCACATTTATAAGAAACTGCTATTCTGTGAGGAACAGGAGATGATATTTGGAAAGAATTAGAAAGGATAGTTAGGAATTGGACAATGCCTTGAATGGCAGACAGTGGAGTATGGATTTATCATGGAGTCAGGCGTATGCTTCTCCATGGCTGATATGCACTGTGCTTAGCTCTACTCAGGGTGGAGTGGCCAGTGTAGCTCAGTGGAAGTCATGACTTCTAGGGTGTGTTTTCCATGTGTGTTCTAGGTTTCCTTTGTGACAGGGACAAGTTATTTCACCTCTTTTTTTTTAGCCTTAGATAACATAAATAATTATACTTTTCCTTGTTTATCTTTCTAGAAAGTTTATTGACATTGTTTTGACATCTTTGCAGGTAGTCCTTTGAAAAAAAATTAGAGTTTCAGAGTTATGATTGCTTTTCATTAATTCTTTTCTTATTTAAAATCTTATTACTTTAGCAATTATACTTTCAGCCTTAAATTCTGCTTTATTTTCTTCAGTTATTTGTGAGTCAAATTCATAATTTCCACCTTTTGTTTTCTCTTTCTCCCTAGGTAGCTGGGCAACCATTGAGCCCCTCTGCTCAGCAGGCACAGCAGGGGCTCAGCCCCTCCCATATCCAAGGCAGTTCTTCCACACAAGGTCAGGCTCTGCAGCAGCAGCCGCAGCAACAGCAGCAGAACTCCTCCGTACAACACACATACCTCCCAAATGCTTGGAATTCCTTCCGTGGTTATTGTAAGCACAAGGGGGACAGCTCATGGGTGGGAGAGCTCTAGCCATATGATTTAATTCCATCCACTTTATAATAGATTTTGGGACTGAAGTATCAGCAAGCCATCTTCAATACTCTATGGTATATGTATTTGAGTGAGTTTCATAACCAAATTCAAAGCAGTGTTTTGATCTCAGAATGCCATTCTGATGTATTTTCAGAGATGTTAGGCATGTTAGGAGGAAGGTAAAGTAGTGGCTTAAGCAGTACAATTGATGATGGTAATGTCTCAGCCCTTCTACAAATAATTTTTCCTTTGTATTGGAAAGCAAATCCAGGTCCTCATTAAATGCCAAGCACAACCAATTACTGTGCTTGGCTGTGGCAATGTAAAGATTAATAATGACATTAATATTAGTAAATCACACAATGATAATGTTAGCTGACTTCATTAAGATCTTACTGTGTAGCAGGAATGATTTTAAGCTAGTATATCACAATGTGTTCCCAGCAACCTATGAGATATGTACAATGGGTTTTTTTACATTTTATAGATAAGGCAATTTAGACACAATAACTTGTCTAAAAGATATAACTAGTCAATAGAAGATTGGAATCCAGGCACTCTGGCCCCAGAGCTTACACTCTAAACAACTCTCACCATACTATCTCTTTTAATGGCACAGAGATCATCATCTAGCAGAGGTGGATATATATGAATAGTATTTCTGGGAACCTTGGAATTTATGCTCTAGAACAGGTTGACTGTCAGAGGTCAGAGTTGGTAGACAGTTGGTTGATGATTTGAAACTTTTCTTGGGGAGACATTAATAGACTTCTGTCCACCCAAGACTAGCTTAGTGAACCAATGGGTTTGTTGGGATTATCTGCAGGAGAATTTGTGAGGAGTTATAGGCAGATGTGTGATTAAAAGGCAACTGTATCACCAAAATTCCGTCTCAGCATGGGTGATAAGCCGCAAGACCTGGAGCTCCCTACATAGCTTGCAACTGGCTCTGTGGGAGCTTGTGATTTCATTCCAAACATGCTACTTTCAGGGACCTCAGTATATTCTCTAATCTATTCTCTCTTTGGGGGACATCACCATATTTGTGTGGTATACTCCATTCATCATCAAGACATACCACTCCAAACCACATAGAGGAAGATTGTCACCCTGGGATTCTCCCCACAAATGCAGTGCTCTCAGACAGCTTGGCCTTGGTTACATATCTTATCCATTGCAGACAGCATGTAGTTGCCATTATAGCAAAGAAGCACACCATCCCATACAAGATGGAGAAAGATAGCCATATTGGAATTACTCCTACAGATTCAGCACCCTCTCGTAGTTCAGCCATAGTTGCATGACTCATTGCCCATTGCAAGGGTGATACAACTGTTCCTCCCCAACTCATCTCTGGTTCGGTCTGTCTCTGTTCAGGGGCCAGCTGTGTTTTGTGACATTTTCAGGGGAGATGTGAACAAATGTCCGTTCACTAAGATAGGGCACTAATAGACCAAAGAAATGATTCCACCCAAGCCTGGCTTGGTGAACCTCACAGTGAGTTTATTGGGAATACCTACAGGAGTGCAGATGAGGTGTGCCTTACAGGTATATTGGCTGACTCAAAGGCAGTTTCACCGCCAAAAAGCCCCCCGCCCCCAGCAAAAGCAACATCCCTGGGGCATTCTTGCCAGATTTGCAGTTAACTCCATAGGAGACGGCTTCTCTGTTCTGCAGTTGTTTACTGCTTTTCTAACTTTTCTGGAGTCTTAACTTCAAAGCTTCCCAAACCTAGTAAATTTCATGAGCTTCCTGCGCTAGTAAGATTCTTTGGCTTCTTTTTCTTACAGTCTTGTGAGCCTTCCTCCTTTCTCCCTGGAGGGAATAGCTATATAACAGGTGAGATGAGATACTTCGGTACAGGTTGGCAAGTGCAAAATGTTTATTACTGCAGATGGGGAAGGATCAGGATCCAAGTAACAGACCTCAGGAACAGCAAGTAGGAGAACTAAGCTGAGAAGGAAAGTATGATCCTCTTCCTTCTCCCTCTCTTCCTCTTCTCCTTTTGAGATAGAGTCTCACTCTGTAGCCTTAGAACTTCTGGTGGCTGGCCTTGAACTCACAGATCTGCCTCCTAAGTACTGGGATTACAGGCGTGCAGTACCACGTCCAGCTTTGATCTGATTGGTTTATATGGGTCCTATCTTTGTTATAGCCATCCTTGGCTAGATTTTATATGTTTATCATGAAATGCAGTGTAAACTCTACAGTGAAGACTAATTCTGGGTTTTGGTCAGGGGAAGACTCTTTTACTCATAGTAAATAACAGTAGAATCCTAGAAAATAGACGGTTATTCAGCTTAAGAAAGTGAAATGATGGAGATAATTACAGTAAGAATAATGTGAGCTAGCATTATAATATGAAAAGAAGATTCTGGAACTGAAATGATCCACTAGGAAGAAATTCTAGAATTATGCACAGTAAAGAGAATACTATAATGACCCCTCTGTGCCCTTTATTACCAGCTTTTGCCCAGCCTTGTCTTACCCTTCCCCATCATTCTTTCCCATACCCTGGCTGGGTAATTGACCCATCGTATCATTTTGCCATAAACATTTTATGATGTATCTAAAAATGAAAAGAGTGAGTATGGTGTGGTGGTGCACATCTAAAATCCTAGCACATGGGAGATGGAGGCAGGAGGATCAGATTTCATATGTTCAAAGTCATCTAAGGGTACATACCAAGTTTGAGGCCAACCTGAGCTGCTTGAAACCCTGTCTCAAAAAAAAGGGTGGAATAGGGTAGTGAGATGACTCAACTGGTTAAGAGCACTTGCTGCGCAAGTGTGAGGTTCTGAGTTTGAATCCCCAACACCCATGTAAAAAGCCTTGAATGTCTTTTTTAAAATATTTTATTTATTACTTTTATTTTATGTGTATGCATGTATTGCCTGCATGTAGGTAAGTGCACCTGTGTCGTGCAATGCCCGTGGAAGACAAAAGAGGCTGTTGGATCCCCTGGAATTGGAGTTACGGACGGGTGTTAGCTGCCATGTGGGTGCTGGAATTTGAACCCCGGTCTTCTGAAAGAACAGTTAGTGTTCTTAACTGCTGAGCCATCTCTCCAGCCCTGAAAAAGCCTTGAATGTCTTTAACTTCAGTTGAGGGGTGGAGACAGTCTGATCACCAGCTGAGTACACCAGCCAGCCAGCCTAGTAGAAAGACGAGTTTCTGGTTCAGTGAGAGACTCTGTCACAAGGGAATAAGGCCGAGAGTGATAGAGGAGGACATCTTGTTGTCCTCCTCTGGCCTACGCATGTATATGCATGCTATGCATACCTGGATACATTTGTAACACACACAACAAAACACCAGAAAAGAAAAGAAAATTTAAAAAAAAAAAAAAAGACTTTTTTTGTTTGTTTTTTTTGGTGCTCAGGATCAAACCCAGGGCCTTGAACATGCTAAGCATATGCTCTACCACTGAGCTACATCCCTAGCCCAAAAGACTGGTTTTAAAAACTACATTATCAGGCTGGAGAGATGGCTCAGTGGTTAAGAGCATGGGCTGCTCATGCAGAGGACCTGGGTTCAATTCCCAGCACCCATATTGAGGCTAACAACCATCCTTAACTCCGGTTCCAGGGAATCCAACACCCTCTTCTGACATCTGTGGGCATTGCACAACATGGGTGTACTTATATACACATAGGCAATATACTCACACATAAAAATAATAAAGTATTAAAAAAAAAACTACATTATCACAGACTGGGCATGGCATAGTGGCACCTGCCTTTAATCCCAGCACTTGGGAGGCAGAGGCAGGTAGGTGGATCTCTGTGAGTTCGAAGCTAACCTATTCACATAGTGAGTTCCAGGCCAGTCAGAGTTGCATAGTGAGACCCTGTCTCAAAAAACAAACAAATACATTATCACAGTATTATCCAGCCTAAAGATAAATGACAGTAATTGTTTAATGCCTTCAAATATAGTTCAAATACCTAGTCAGTATTCATATTTCTGTGACTGAGAAGATGTTCTAATTGTTCAAATCAGGTTCCAAATAAAGGCCATTCATTGCAGCTCATTGTGTGTGCCTTTGGAGTTCACATGTGCTTGCTTTCCCCTTTCAGCTGCTGTTTCTCTGTTGAAGAAACTGGGTCATGTGTTCTGCAGTCTACTCATTCTGGATTTTGCTGATGGCATCCTTGTGTCACTTGACATATTTGCTTCCATTTATTTCCTATAGATAGGTGATTATATAGAGAGGCTTGGTCAGAGTCAGGTTCTGTTCTTTCTCCCAAGATTCTCATTGCTGATCTTCCTGTGATGTTAGGAGCCTCTGATGTTTGTTCCTTAGCTCCATTTTATTATATTTCACAAAGTTGTGATACTCTGATTCTGTTGTTCTTACTCATGGATTAGGTCAAAAAATTCTATAAAGAAAAAAAGTTGTGCTGATGTGTGCTATACACCTTTAATCTTAGCAGCTGGCAGCCAGAGCCAAGAAGACTGCAGGCCATTGAGGGCTACACAGTAAAGTCCTGTTTCAAACAAGCAAACAAAGAAAAGAAAAATTATCTTAATTACAAAGTTATTCAGAATACTTTGAATAGGAAATGCAAAGTAAATACTTTAATGCCTGATTTATCACTTTTATTTGCCAATTTTCAAAATAGTAAGTTGTATTTAATAACTACATGATTAGAAGAAGCATTTCACTACAGCTTTAACATATTCAGTAACACACTCCAGAGCAAGAGCACATCTCTTTCACAAGTGGGTGCAAGTTTCTAGGTTCACAGTTGAATTAATACAGTTATACAGTATTGAACTCAGTATAAGCCCTGTAAGACATAAAATTGAATGAGTTTTTAATCTTTAAAAAAGATCTCCATTTCATTTTAGAATATATTGTTCCTTGCAGAAGGACTCATTGTTTTTGCTACTAACACTGAGATGTTGGCGCATGCATCTCTAATCCATATGTATCTGATTATTACTAGTCAT